CGCGCCAGGTCGTAGGTCTTGGAGGGGCTTTGGCCGGGTGCGCAGATCCCCCGAACTCCCAGCCGGACGGCCGACTGGTTGGAGGTGGCGTGGGAGCGGCTCGACGCCTGGAAAGGCGCAGCGACACGGGCCGCCGCCAAGGCGGTACTGGAGTTCATGAAGGCATGGTACTCGGACGTGAGCTTAGCGCAGCTGCCCACCTTCCTGTTGGGGAACGTAGCAGAAATTCGAAATTTTCCTACGTGTCACCAAGATCTGTCTATGGAGAAACCAGCAACGAGGGGAAGGAGAGTGCATCTACATACCCTTGTAGATCTCTAAGCGGAAGCGTTCAAGAGAACGGGGTTGAAGGAGTCGTACTCGTCGTGATCCAAATCACCGGAGATCCTAGTGCCGAACGGACGGCACCTCCACGTTCAACACACGTACAGCCCGGTGACGTCTCCCACGCCTTGATCCAGCAAGGAGAGAGGGAGAGGTTGAGGAAGACTCCATCCAGCAGCATCACAACAGCGTGGTGGTGATGGAGGAGCGTGGCAATCCTGCAGGGCTTCGCCAAGCACCGCGAGAGAGGAGAAGGGAGAGAGGTAGGGCTGCGCCTGGGAGAGGTGAAACTCATCTGTTGGCAGCCCTCAAGACCTCAACTATATATAGGGGAGAGGGAGGGAGGTGCGCCCCCTCTAGGGTTTCCACCCCAAGGGGTGCGGCTGCCCCCAATCCCATCTAGGGTGGCGGCCAAGGGGGGGGAGAGGGGAAACTTGCCCCCCAAGTTAGGTGGGTGCGCCCCCTCCCCCAACCCTAGGCGCCTTGGGCCCTTGTGGGGGGGCGCACCAGCCCACCAGGGGCTGGTCCCCTCCCACACTTGGCCCATGCAGCCCTCCGGGGCCGGTGGCCCCACTTGGTGGACCCCCGGGACCCTCCCGGTGGTCCCGGTACGTTACCAATAAAACCCAAAACTTTTCCGGTGACCAAAACAGGACTTCCCATATATAAATCTTTACCTCCGGACCATTCCGGAACTCCTCGTGACGTCCAAGATCTCATCCGGGACTCCGAACAACATTCGGTAACCACATACAAACTTCCTTTATAACCCTAGCGTCATCGAACCTTAAGTGTGTAGACCCTATGGGTTCGGGAACCATGCATACATGACCGAGACGTTCTCCGGTCAATAACCAACAGCGGGATCTGGATACCCATGTTGGCTCCCACATGTTCCACGATGATCTCATCGGATGAACCACGATGTCAAGGACTCAATCGATCCCGTATACAATTCCCTTTGTCTAGCGGTATTGTACTTGCCCGAGATTCGATCGTCGGTATGCCGATACCTTGTTCAATATCGTTACCGGCAAGTCTCTTTACTCGTTCCGTAACACATCATCCCGTGATCAACCCCTTGGTCACATTGTGCACATTATGATGATGTCCTACCGAGTGGGCCCAGAGATACCTCTCCGTCAACCGGAGTGACAAATCCCAGTCTCAATTCGTGCCAACCCAACAGACACTTTCGGAGATACCTGTAGTGCACCTTTATAGCCACCCAGTTACGTTGTGACGTTTTGTACACCCAAAGCATTCCTACGGTATTCGGGAGTTGCACAATCTCATGGTCTAAGGAAATGATACTTGACATTAGAAAAACTTTAGCATACGAACTACGATCTTTGTGCTAGGCTTATGATTGGGTCTTGTCCATCACATCATTCTCCTAATTATGTGATCCCGTTATCAACGACATCCAATGTCCATGGTCAGGAAACCATAACCATCTATTGATCAACGAGCTAGTCAGCTAGAGGCTTACTAGGGACATAGTGTTGTCTATGTATCCACACATGTATCTGAGTTTCCTATCAATACAATTATAGCATGGATAATAAACGATTATCACAAACAAGGAAATATAATAATAATAACTAATTCATTATTGCCTCTAGGGCATATTTCCAACACTTCCGCCAGGAGGCGACGCCAGAGTTGGAGCTGGAGCGCGAAGGGGTCGCCATCCACGCATCAGCCCTCGCCGAGTACACTGATGACAGCGTCTTCATCCCGGAGCAGGCTGAAAATGACACCGAGGTGCCCCATCCTGGTTTGGGCTGAACCCGAACGAGGGGGAGAACCCGACGGAGGAGATCGCCTCCAGCAACAAAGCCGGAGAGGAGGACTCAGATGAGGAAAGCGACGACGTCGCACCAGATGGCAAAGCGACCAGTCGGACCTGGTCCGACCCGGCCCTAGCCGGCGAGCAGCGGGAGATCACGTCGGCCACTACCGCCGACCAGGACGAGACCAACCAGCTGGAGGCCCCGCCAGCCGGTGCTACAGCCGCCGCCGACTCGTCCGAGTAGCCCGTAGAGCCTTCGGACTAGGCGGCTTTTACCTTGTTTATGTTTTGCCTGTCTTGTGCTTCAAGAACAATGTTAACTATGCGCAGTTCCACCCACTAGGGGTGTATTTTAATGAATGCTAGCTGTGGGCCTTTTGCTGTGTAAATGAATTTAATTTCCCCACATGTTTGTATGTGTTGCTGGGTTCAATTTTGCCTTTGCTTCCTTTGCCTTTTTCTTTTGTCGTGTTCTTTTGGCCGCCGCCCTGCCAGCCGGACAGTCGTGCTACAGTCTATGGCCGGGTCAAGGACTTGGCCATTTAGAATAGGAAAATTACTTCGGCCGCTTAGAGCTTAGCTAGTCGAGCGAGAAGCCGGCCGGTCGGCTGTTGAGCAGCCGGACGAGGGAGGCGAGGGGCCGGCTTGTCTTGAATCAGCGTTCTTCCTTAGACGTTTTCGTGTGGACAGTGTTTCTGGCCTTTAGCTCTTGCCAGCCATACAGTCATGCTGCGAGCTGTGGCTGGGGCGAAGAGAGGGCTTTGGCACCGGCACACTACTGATCCGACTTCGGATGGTGCCAACTTGGGCCAAGTCGGCGAGCCCCCGGGCCGGCTGACCAGACCCGAGTAGGGCAAAATAATAAATGCTCATTCATAGGAGAAGCTTATTATAGAGATAAAAAGGTAGCCCCGAGTGCGCCTGGGGGTACCTGTTGTCTTTACTTAGTACAAAAGATAGCATGGTACATCATACACTACATCAACTGTAAAATGAGCGAAAGACGTCCGTGTTCCATGGGAGCTCCGACTCCTCGCTGGTTGTGCTTCTCTTGCATGCCCTGGGCTTCTGCCCACCGATGAGGTAGTAGGAGTCGTTGCCCATGGCCTTGCTGATGATGAAGGGTCCTTCCTAAGGAGCAGCGAGCTTGTGCTGGTCGGCTGATCGCTGAATCAGTCGGAGCACGAGGTCGCCTTCGCGGAAAACACGCGGCTTGATCTTCTTGTTATGGTAGTGGCGCAGGCTCTGCTGGTAGATGGCAAAACGACTGAGTGCTAGCAGCCGGGCCTCTTCGAGCAGGTCGACGCCATCTTCGCGTGTCTCCTTTGCTTCTGCCTCCATGTACAGGGTGACGCGAGGCGAGTCGAACTCGATATCCGTTGGGAGGATAGCCTCGGCCCCGTACACGAGGAAGAAAGGTGTGAATCCGGTTGATCTATTTGGCGTGGTCCAAACACTCCAAAGGACGGGCGGCAGCTCATTGATCCAGCAGCCGACCGAGCGCTCCAATGGCTCGACGAGTCATGGCTTGATGCCGGATAGGATGAGGCTGTTTGCTCGCTCCACCTGGCCATTTGACTACAGGTGAGCAACCGACGCGAGGTCCAGTCGGATGTCCTGAGTCGCCTAGAAATGGGCCAAGGCGCCTTTGGCGAAGTTTGTGCCATTGTCGGTGATGATGCTGTATGGGATGCCGTATCGAACGGTGATATCCGCGATGAATATGACGACTGTGGGGCCGTTCAGCTTCTTGATTGGCTTTGCTTCAATCCACTTTGTGAACTTGTCCACGACGATCAGCAGATGGGTCATGCCGCCGCGTGCTGTCTTGAATGGGCCCACCATGTCCAAACCCCATACTGCAAATGGCCAGGTGATGGAAATGGTCTTGAGGGCTGAGGCCGGCTGGTGCTGCTTGGAGCTGAAATGCTGGCACCCCTTGCACTTCCGGACCAACTCCTTGGCGTCGTCCAGAGCAGTCGGCCAGAAGAAACCATGGCAGAAAGCTTTGGCTACGAGGGATCTGCAGGCAGGATGGTGGCCACATTCACCTTGGTGGATGTCCCTAAGGGTGGCCATGCCCTTCTCCGGCTCAACGCAGCGCTGGAACACGCCGGTCACGCTACGCCTGGCGAGCTCTCCGTTGATGATTGTATATGCCCCTGCTCGGCGTTGCACCAGTCGGGCCAACACTTCGTTGGTCGGGAGCACGCGGCTCACCAGAAAGTCGCGGATGGGCTGCGCCCAAGACAGAGCTTCCATCACCGTCATGACAGCAACCGGCGTTAGGGTGGCCGGATTGGGAGGCGGTGGGTTGGAGCCGCCGCTCCTTGTTGCGTCGTGGAAGTCCCCCGGCCGGCTACAGCACGATGGTAAACGAGATGCTTCCATCGCCAAGAAAATGAACGATGCGCGCTTGGCCAGCGGTCGCAAAAGTTTACCATTCAGCAATCACGACTTTGGCTAACCAACTTATGGTTGGATGGTTAGGATGACATTGGTATCCCCAGCGCATCAGGGTTCAACTCTCGGTGCTCGCTCGCATTATTTCTGAATTTATTATTTCAGGTGCGTTCAGTGGGAGGAGACGTTCTAGTCGACAAAGGACTGTGTGCTCACACTGATTAGTGTTAGAGTCGCTAATTGCTATGAGCACCCGGTTTTGTTTCCTTGGCTCGTACCAGCACCCATCGTTGACCAAAATTGGCGCCTTCTTCGTTCCCCACGCCTGCTGTGCTGCCATAGCTCCACTTCCTGCTCCTCAATCGGAATTTCTTGGCGTAGGTAATTCCGCCCTCCTTTTACATGTTTCGATTGTTGCTTCGCTTCCCATCCATGACTAGAATTATCTTTTGATTACTTCAGCTACAGGCGGAGATCCATGTTCCGATTTATCGGCGCTTGGCTACAGGCGGTGCTCCGGTATATTGCTGCGTGGCTTCCGGCGGCGGCGGATGATTCTGACGCCGCTGTTTCGTCGCCTCATGCGGCGATGGATTTCCCCGTCACGGCTTCGCTCGGCCCCCTCCACCGGCCGCTCCATTCCTTCAGGGCCACCAAGAACAACCTGCCGGATGGGGTCAGCGAGGGCCAGGTCCGGCGCCTCGAGGCAGATCTGGAGACACTGTTCACCGAGCTCAAGATCGTGTCGGAAGCGGACGACCCAAGCTTCACGGCCAGGTGCTGGATGAAGGAGGTGCGGGAGCTCCGTTACGACGCGGAGGACTTCTTCAACGAGGTCCCGCACTCCTCCGCCGGCGCCGGCGACGGTGCCACCCGCAGAGGCGCTCTCCTCACCACCATCCTCTCGATTCCCAGTAGGCTGAAGCGGCGGCGGCAGGTTGCAGAAGCTTTCTCAGATCTGCGGGCTCGCGTGAAGGATGCGAGTCAAAGACGCCAAAGTTTCCAGCTTGGTCCAGCGACCATGAGAGATGAATTTGGGAAAGCCAATGCCAGCCGCTCCCCCAAATTTATCGGTCTTGAGGAGTCCATGGACAAGCTTGTCAAACTGATGGCTTTTGACAGTGAAGATGCAGAGCAACAAGTTCAGGTGGTATCTATCGTTGGATCTGCAGGTGTTGGCAAAACCACACTTGCCAGGACCTTCTATTGTAAATTTGGATGGAAATTCCAGTGTCGGGCTTTTGTGCGGGTGTCGCGAAATCCAGACATGAGGAGGATGCTTTCCAGCATGCTCTCACAAATTAAGGCGCCACCGGTCCATGGCTTTCCCGATGTGCAGGACCTTATTGACCATATCAGAGAATATCTGCAATGCAAAAGGTATATATTCTAGTATCTTTTAACTGGATATAAATGGTGCATTGTTGGAAAAAAATGATAAATGTCTTAAGAAGCAAATAAGCACTACTGCAAGTATAATTTAGAGGCTATTTGGGTTGGATTTTTGAATAGGACAAGTAAACTTCTTCAATTTTCTATTGTTCATGAATTTTGATTGTAGGAAGTCGATGAATTGGGAAAAGTAGACCATTATTTCTTTCCAACACATTTTGTATGAGAGAATGACAGACCTATATGAAATCCTGATGGTTGTTAACGGATTCCTTATGTATATCTATAGAGCCCATGAGAATAGACAAAGTTGCCTCCTATGTAGCATGGTCTTAAGAGCATAAGTTTTTTTTATCCTTTTTTCCCGGTGTAGCAAATCACTTGTTCCGATTGATTACTTCACTGCCTGATGATCTTCCATAATGGCCTTACCCTTCTCCACTGTGCATCGGCAACTCGCTAACCAATCATGCCTGTGACTTCCTTGCCTATGATATTTTAGGATATAGTATATCTTACTTTCAGATTACTAGCAATAATCTCAATTTCCTATTAATTTATGGTTGAATTTTTATTTTATCTTGGTTATGCTTTTTTTTTGTTTCTTTGTCAGCTTGACAAAACCTGTTTATGTTGAATAAAATATTCTGCAGATACTTGATTGTAATTGATGACTTATGGGCCTCCTTGACATGGGATGTTATTAGCCGTGCTTTTCCTGATGGTGATTGTTGCAGCAGAATAATAGTAACCACGGAAATCGAGGATGTAGCACTGGCATGCAGTAGGTACCAGTTTAAGTACATGTATGAGATGAGTCCTCTTAATGGTGATCAGTCAAGACAGTTATTCCTTGGTAGAGTTTTTGAGTCTGAAAATGATTGTCCTCCAGATTTCAAACAAGTTGCATATGAGATTATCCGGAAATGTGGAGGTTTACCATTAGCAACTGAAGATATAGCAAGCATGTTAGCATGTCAGCTAAACGTCGATCAATGGAAACATGTAAGAGATTCTTTACCCTCTTTGAGTTTGAGGACAAACCCTAGTTCTGAAGGGTTGAAAGAAGTTCTCAACATTATTTACAATAACCTTTCGCCAAATTTGAAGACATGCTTGCTATATCTTGGTATATATCCAGAGGGATGGACTATCAGCAAAGATGAATTGGTGAAGCAATGGGTAACTGAAGATTTTGTCCGCGATGAGCAAGACAGAGAGAAAACTGCACGAGATTATTTTGATATACTTGTCAGTAGAGGAATGATCCAGCCTGTAGAAAAAGATTATAATGATGAGCTGTTGACATGTACAATTCACCACATGGTACTAGATCTTATCAGGTGCAAATGTCTCGAGGAGAATTTCATCATTAATGTGAGCTGCTTTCAAACAACTCCAGGTCTTCCTGACAAGGTTCGTCGACTGTCTGTCCAGTTTGGTGGTGCAAAATGTGCAAGTATACCAGCAGACTTCATGATGACTCAAGTTAGATCACTTGTTTATTTTGGGTTCTATAACTGTGTACCTTCCATTGTGGAATATAAGCTCCTTCGAGTTCTGATTCTTCATATCTGGGCTGATGAAAGCAAAATATTTGACCTCACTAGAATTAGTGAACTGTTTCAGCTGAGGTATCTGAAAATTGATTGTAACATCACTGTCCATCTGCCAGATGAGATTCGACAGCTAAAATTCTTGGAGACACTGGAGCTGCATGCACCAGTAAATGATATGCCATCGGATATTAGTTGCTTGCCATTACTTCGCACTCTGGGCTATTTTGATCTCAGCAAGAACGCAACAGAGACTGTACAGAGCCTTGGGGAGCTGAACAATCTCGAAGACCTTCATCTCACTTGGTGTAACAGTACAGAGCCTGACAATCTGAAGAACAATATGCAATGCCTGGGCTCAATTCTCGGGAAACTCAGCAACCTCAAGTCTTTAACTCTAGTACCTGCAGCCGCCTCTCATGCAGATGTTCTGGGCGACGCTGGTGGTGCAAGCGTGCATATTTCTGGCGATGTCTTCAGCAGCGTGTCCTTTCCCCCAGCCCTTCTTCAGAGGCTTGAGCTAGGGCGCTGTTGCATCTTTTCCAGCCTACCCGAGTGGACCAAAGAACTTGGCAATCTCTGCGTTTTGAAGATCTCAGTTAGGAAGCTGTTGAGTAAAGATATAGATATTCTCAAAGGATTGCCAGCCCTCATGGCTCTCTCGCTGTACGTCTGGACTGCCCCTGTAGGGAAGGTCATCTTTGATAACGAGGGATTCTCGGTTCTCAAATACTTCAAGTTCACGTGTGCTGCCCCATGCGTGGCATTTCTGAAAGGATCAATGCCTAGTGTCCGGGAGCTTAAGATAGCATTCAATGCTAATAGAATGGAGCAATACAGCCAGATATTTCCTGGCTTAGAGTACCTGATAGAACTTAGAGAGATCACTGCAGAAGTTGGGGGCACTGGTACTGATGAATCCGATAAAAGGTATGCGGAGTCGGCATTGAGTGGCGCCATTGCCAATCATCCATGCACTCCTATAATCAGAGTACAGTGTGTAGATCAGATTTTATTTGGTGCCGTCACACAAGAACAAGAACACTGGACTCTGGACGAACAACATGAGATACAAGAGGAATTGCTTGATCCTCCCATACCAGTACAAGATCAGCCAGACAACAGCACTCCAGGCACTGATGGTAAGGATGATTTCCAGAAGTTGCGCACATACCTTCTATTGCTTGGCATCCTTGCCGCCACAGTCACCTACCAAGCTGGGATGAGTCCACCAGGAGGCTTTTGGGCAGATAACAGTGATGTGCATACTGCTGGTGATCCAATTTTGGAGGTCATCAGTCCCAAGCGCTACAAGGCATTCTTTTATTGCAATGCCACAGCATTTGTAGCATCTTTGGTCGTCATCATCCTACTCCAGAGTCAGCTGATTACCATTCGTGCCATCAAGCGTCGTGTACTGCAAACAGCGATGGCACTGATCCTCTTTGGTCTCATGGGAGCCTATGTTGCTGGAAGCAGCAGGAAGTTCTCCACATCCATATATGTGTTCGCCCAAGTCCTCGTTGTTTTCGCCTATGTTGTACTTCATATTCTATATGAGAGCAGAGCCGGGAATACTGAGAGTGCAGCAGGGAATACTGAGAGCACAGTAGGGAGTACTGGGACTTACATGCCAGAAACCTTCCAAAATCCTAGTTCTTCTGAACCTACTCCTGAAGAAATAAAAGATTTGCAGAAGAGGCGCAAGTTTCTGATGCTGCTCGCAACTCTAGCAGCTTCTATCACATACCAAACTGGGATGAGCCCACCAGGTGGCTTTTTGGCAGATAACAGTGATGTGCATGCTGCTGGTGATCCAATTTTGGAGGTCATCAGTCCCAAGCGCTACAAGGCATTCTTTTATTGCAATGCCACAGCATTTGTAGCATCTTTGGTCGTCATCATCCTACTCCAGAGTCAGCTGATTACCATTCGTGCCATCAAGCGTCGTGTACTGCAAACAGCGATGGCACTGATCCTCTTTGGTCTCATGGGAGCCTATGTTGCTGGAAGCAGCAGGAAGTTCTCCACATCCATATATGTGTTCGCCCAAGTCCTCGTAGTTTTCGCCTATGTTGTACTTCATATTCTATATGAGAGCAGAGCCGGGAATACTGAGAGTGCAGCAGGGAATACTGAGAGCACAGTAGGGAGTACTGGGACTTACATGCCAGAAACCTTCCAAAATCCTAGTTCTTCTGAACCTACTCCTGAAGAAATAAAAGATTTGCAGAAGAGGCGCAAGTTTCTGATGCTGCTCGCAACTCTAGCAGCTTCTATCACATACCAAACTGGGATGAGCCCACCAGGTGGCTTTTTGGCAGATAACAGTGATGTGCATGCTGCTGGTGATCCAATTTTGGAGGTCATCAGTCCCAAGCGCTACAAGGCATTCTTTTATTGCAATGCCACAGCATTTGTAGCATCTTTGGTCGTCATCATCCTACTCCAGAGTCAGCTGATTACCATTCGTGCCATCAAGCGTCGTGTACTGCAAACAGCGATGGCACTGATCCTCTTTGGTCTCATGGGAGCCTATGTTGCTGGAAGCAGCAGGAAGTTCTCCACATCCATATATGTGTTCGCCCAAGTCCTCGTAGTTTTCGCCTATGTTGTACTTCATATTCTATATGAGAGCAGAGCCGGGAATACTGAGAGTGCAGCAGGGAATACTGAGAGCACAGTAGGGAGTACTGGGACTTACATGCCAGAAACCTTCCAAAATCCTAGTTCTTCTGAACCTACTCCTGAAGAAATAAAAGATTTGCAGAAGAGGCGCAAGTTTCTGATGGTGCTCGCAACTCTAGCAGCTTCTATCACATACCAAACTGGGATGAGCCCACCAGGTGGCTTTTTGGCAGATAACAGTGATGTGCATGCTGCTGGTGATCCAATTTTGGAGGTCATCAGTCCCAAGCGCTACGAGGCATTCTTTTATTGCAATGCCACAGCATTTGTAGCATCTTTGGTCGTCATCATCCTACTCCAGAGTCAGCTGATTACCATTCGTGCCATCAAGCGTCGTGTACTGCAAACAGCGATGGCACTGATCCTCTTTGGTCTCATGGGAGCCTATGTTGCTGGAAGCAGCAGGAAGTTCTCCACATCCCAAATCCTCGTAGTTTTCGCCTATGTTGTACGTCATATTCTGTTGCTTGTTAACAAGAGGCTATGCAACATGGTCTGAGGCTACGTGCATGCATACTGGTTGTTCTGATCAGCCTCATGGGTGCTTTTGCTACTGGAAGCTGCAGAAAAGTGTCAACATCTGGCTATGTCATTCTTGTTGTTCTTGCAGTGTTTGTCTATGTCATGATTCAAGTCGCCAACACAAACAAGGGACGGAGTGCAGGTGAACAAACGGAAAGATCGAAGGAGCAAGAACAAGAACACCGGATTATGGAAAAACAACACGAGACACAAGTGGAATTGCTTGATCCTCTTGCCGATCACCTTATTTCCACTCCAAGCACACAAATACAAACCAGAGACGGTGGGCAGAATGGAGGAGCAGAGAGATCAATGGAGGTGCTGACACTAGAACAACACCACATGACTCTGGTCAAACAACACAAGATTCAAGAGGAATTGCTTGACCCTCTTCCCGAACTTCTTTCCACCTCAAGCACACAAACACAAACAAGAGATGGAGTTCAGGGTGAACAAATTGAAGGATCGATGGGGGTCCTAAGTCCTAACACATGAACATGGGCACTTATCTCTGGAAAAACAACAAGAGATTCAAGAGGAATTGCTTAATCAAGCTCCTTCCGCTCCAAGCAGACAAACACAAGCAAGAAATTAAGTGCAGGATGGAGAAATAGAGAGATCGATGGAGGTGTTTACACAAGAGCAAGAACAGTGTATCGTGGATGTTGAGTATATATGTGTTGCATGTAGTATGTATATTGTGGCCCGCCTCCTAGTTATGTATAGTTGAGATTGATGCTTACCTGTACTTATATATACATGCACCGGCACCCCATCAATACAATGAATATTGCATTGCCAAACTATCTCTCTACATTGCCAAACTGTCTCTGTTATGCATTTTATCCATATCACTGAGACGCCTACTTCCAGCCGGTGTCTCCTACCCTTTTTAGGAACTTGAATTCATGAAGTACACTACTAGTGAGAGCTGGCGCGCTGCTGCCCACTCAACTGGAACGCTGTGGTGAAACCTAGAACGCTCGAGCAAAGGGGCCGGTCCCGGATGGAGGGGTCATAAATGCTAGTATTTGCTATGTAATGCTATGAGGATTTCTTTTCTTTTTTGTTGTTGAACTCCGATTGTATTGTTTTCACTGATTACTCTAATTATGAATGAATGCTCGCCTCATGGGGTGGAGCTTTGTCTGGTCTTATTTTTACTTGCTATTTTCTTTGGGCAGTTCCGTTTAAGCCTAGCAAAACTTGTTTATCATTTTTGATAGCTAGGTTGTGCTCATCATATTATTCTTTGGGACTTTGGTAATTCTGTTCTGCCACCATCTTAATTTCATGTCGTAGAAGTTCGTAGATCTATCATATTGGTATGTGTCGCTGGCATGCCGATTATTAAGCCCAGGTCGCTGCTTCTGCTCTCTTCGCAATATGCTGAAGAAATGTACAGGAGCTGCAGGCTCTTCATGGACCCAGTGTGCATGCTTCTTCACATCAATACTGGCAGGGTCTAAAATGCTCCTCCTGTGGCATTTGCAACAAGGCAGGCCGGCCATCTGAATTTACAATAATCTCTGGTGCACTTTTACAATATGAACTGTTGTCCAACTGTTTTATAAAAGCAGGGATTGCAAAAGACTCTGAATGTTGGACTTGTGTATAGAAAATTGTAGAGGCCAGCTACTGCGCAGTTAGTTTATAAGGTGTAATACGTATTTCATGATTTACTTCGTGAGTTGGACCAGACATTTGTTCAAAGCAGGAAAGCAACCATTTCAAGTTCTTAGCTGATTCAAGGTTGTTTTCCAAGAACAGAAGGATGCCATCCAGCTAGCATCTTGTTTTTAGCAGCTTTAGTCAGCATTTTGCTGAACACATCAGCTACTAAGTTGAAAAGAAGAGGGGAGGCAGGATCACCATGTCTCACACCTTTAGGAGTCTAAAAAAAATCACTATTACAATCATTAATTCTAACACCTACAGGACCTTTATAAAGAAGAGGTTCAATCTTCATTCATTTTAGGTTAAATCTCCTTTGGTACTCCCTCCGTTCCAAAATAGATGACCCAACATTATACTAAAGTTAGTACAAAGTTGAGTCATCTATTTTGGAACGGAGGGCGTACATCATATCTATCATGAACTCTTTACTAATTCTATCATAAGCCTTCTCATAGTCAAGCTTAAAAACAAACCCTTCCTTATTGTTAGCAAAAACATCATGAATAATTTCATGAACTGTCACCACATTTTCCACTATGAACCTGCCTTTAATGAAGGCGGTTTGGTTTTGGGAGATAAGCTCATCACCTATCTCCCCCAACTGATTAGTAACACATTTAGCAAAAAAATATATTAAAGCTACAATTGGTCAGAGCAATTGGCCTAAATTTTTGAATGGTACTAGCATCAGGTTCCTTTGGGATCAAGGTTAATAAAGAAAAGTTCAGCCTATAAAGATCTAGAGAATCATTATTCCAGGCAACTACCATCAACATAAGATCCTCCCTAATAATGGACTAAAAATGTTGATAAAAGAGGAATGAGAAGCCATCAGGGCCAGGAGCCCCCTCAGCACCCCATGTTGTGGACCTCTAGTAGTAGCTTTTCCTGTGTCTCGCCACGGGACTCTGCCCATAAAAAGAGCTCCATGCAGATGTTTTATTTCCCGTGAAATCAGAGGCTATAGAAACCTTCCTGCGGAATTATAGCAGTTCGTTCTGCGAACCGAACGCTACTTCTGTAAAACTTTCCTCTGTTTTTCCTTCGTACACTTTTCTTCCACAATTCCTTCAAACCAAATGCAGCCTAGGTATAGATGTGTTGCCGATTATTCAGCCCAGGTAGCTGCTTCAGGCGATTCATGGACCCTTTATGCATGCTTTTTTGCATCAATACTGGCAAGGCCTCAAATGCTTCTCCTGTGGCATTTGCAGCAAGGCAGGCCGGCCATCTGAATTTACAATATTCTTTGGTGCACTTTTACAATATGAATCGTCGTCCAACTGTTGATTAAGCATGGGATGGAAGAAGACCCTGAATGTTGGCCTTGTGTATTGAAAAATCTGTAGAGGTCAGCTATTGCACGGTTGGTTTATACTTTATAAGGTGTGATACGTATTTCGTGATTTACTTGGTGACTTAGACCAGAGATATTGTTATTTTCTTCTTCTACAGACTTGCGCAAACTTTACAGAAACCACCGACTTAGAACAAAGCTAACAGAGTCTTACTTCTGGGCAGGAGGAACTAGATGATCAGATTCACAGAAATGAACCTGATGGAAAACGCCATCATTTACGACAAATATCACTTACACAGAAATCCCCGGTCTGCTCTTGCTCAGGCTGCAGGAAATCCCAGGTCTGGATGCTACAGTTGATTTGATACATCGAAAAGATATGAACATCTTATCAGATAGCTAAATAAATATACACTATGGAAACACGGTTGAAGATTTATTAGCTGACATTAATCTGGCATATGGTAGACGACGTCAATTCTTTCTCTAAACTTTGGTAAAAGTTCAAAAGGTTTGGCTCAGAGCAAAACAAACACATTCTCAAATTGTGAAAAGGACGGAGTAGATAGTTACATTCACAAAAATGAACCTAGTAAACAAATCATTTATGGTGAACAACGCTGCCCTC